TTACTTTTATTTAAAAAAAAAAAATTAAGTTCCGGGGGTATGTGTGCAAGTTTGTTAGATAGGTAAACATGTGCCATGGTGATTTACTGCGCTTGTCAACCCGTCACCTAGGTATTAAGCTTATCGTGTGTTAGCTATTTTTCTTGATGCTCTCTCTGTCCATAAAAACATTTTTTATGCTTGATTTTTTTTTAAACTAGAAAAAGTCCTATTGTGGAAATGTTCTCCAGTGGTCATTGGCTGTTTCTGTTCATTGTAGCTCCACTGTACATTTTAGATATTGCACAAATATTTAAGTGTTGCTTGAATTGATCTCTAGGTAATTTGCAGATTTTTAAACTACATACCATATTTGAATTAATGAGGTTTCACAGTGAGAAAGGTTTGCCTTCACATTAGGAAAGGATCTTCTAAGAGCTTTATGTACTGATAAGAGCATTGATTTTGAAATCATACAGTTATGACTTCAAATTAGGGTCTGCAATATAGGAGGCAAATAATGACCTTTCTGAACCTTATTTTTTTTTTTAATCTGTAAAATGATCATAACAATAATATCTGTGTCCTAGGGCTTATTGTGAAGATAGGAAGAAATCGCTCTTAAGTGCCACGCACAGTGCCTAGTAATATTAAATAGCAGATGCTCAGTAAACCTAAGATCTCTTACCATTTGATAAAGTACTATGCTCTGGAACACATGGATGAATGAATGAGATCTAGTGTATCAGATTTATTTTTACAGTAAGTTTTTTTTTTTGTTTGTTGTTTTTCTTTTTTGAGACAGAGTCTGCCCTGTCACCCAGGCTGGAGTACAGTGGCACAATGTTAGCCCGCTGCAGCCTTTGCCTTCTGGGTTCAAGTGATTCTCTTACCTCAGCCTCCCAAGTAGGTGGGATTACAGGCATGCACCACTATACTCAGCTAACTTTTGTATTTTTAGTAGAGACAGAGTTTCACCATGTTGGCCAGGGTGGTCTTGAACTCATGACCTCAAGCGATCTGCTGCCTCAGCATCCCAAAGTGCTGGGATTACAAGCTTGCAGTAACATTTTTTTTTTAAAAAAAAGAGAATAAAATTAATCCCAATTAGAGAAAATAACCCATTTCAGTTGCCATTAGAGTATCCATTTAAAGACGATGAAAATGCCTACTTATTTCAACTTTATTTATATGCAAAATGCATCTGTTTAAAGTGAACATTTTGAAGGTTTTAACAGAGATAGACACCTGTGAAAACTGCCACAATCTGAGGAAACGCTTATATAAATCATCATTATTGACAGTTCATACTGATTTTTTAAGAGGCCTTGCTAAACCCTACTCTTGTGGCTGAATTTTTCTCAGTTTAAGCTGGAAGTTTCTAAAATGATTTTTCTCTTTTTGAAAAAAGATTTTTATTATGCATGATGGGTTCAGCAAGGTCTTCACTTCTTACTGCTGTAATCAGTACATTCAAACTTAACTGAAATAGACTAAATAGTAAAATAGATATGAAAGTTAAAACTTGGTGTTATTTTGTATTTATTTTATTTGTTTCAATCAGCAGGTGAAAGAAGATAAAAAAGCTGAAAACGTTGATTTTCGTTGCCTAGGAGAAGAATTCTGTCATTGGTTCTTTGGACTTCTTAATTCTCAAAATCCTTTTCTGGGACCACCTCAAGATGAATGGGGACCACAGCACTTCTGGCATGATGTAAAGCTTAGGTTTTATTACAACACATCAGAACAAAATGTGATGGACTACCATGGAGCAGAAATTGTGAGCCTTCGTTTGCTGTCACTAGTAAAAGAAGAATTTCTTTTTCTCAGCCCCAACCTAGATTCACGTGGACTGAAATGTGCATCTTCTCCTCATGGGCTGGTTATGGTTGGAGTTGCTGGGACTGTCCATCGAGGGAACACTTGTTTGGGCATTTTTGAACAAATTTTTGGACTCATCCGCTGCCCTTTTGTGGAGAATACTTGGAAAATCAAATTTATCAACTTGAGAATTGTGGGAGAGAGTTCCCTTGTTCCTGGAACATTACCAAAACCAGCTGTTACCTTTGAACAAAGTGATCTAGAGGCCTTTTATAATGTAATCACTTTATGTGGTACCAACGACGTACGACATAATGTAAAGCAGGCATTAGATAGTGGAACTGGGGACCAAGCTTGATGTACTGGAAATGAGGCACTGCTGAACAAAAGAGAACGGGTATATCTGACCCTCTATAGCATGAAGTACTGTCAGCCTAAAAGAAATCTTCTATACAGAAACTCTTCCAAATACTACATCAGTAATGTCAAAATGATTTCAGATGTGAGAATTGACATATTTTAGTTGAAATACCTTTCTGGACTACAGACTTACATGTTATGTGAATACATACCTATTTCTGCCCCAGTTGCAACAAATGTTCTGAAAGCTTAATGCAAATAAATCCCGCTTTAGATGTTATAGCTAACTGTGTGCCTTAGAAACCAGGTAATAATTTCCTTTTACTTAGTGAATATTCTGTTAATATCTGCACTTTTAATGTGGGAAAGGATTAATAATGTTCTAGGCTTCTCCTTTTTAAGTTTCTTACTGACTTTTGTCTAACTCTGGGTAACAATTTTACAAATGCATCTCACCATAGTATGTTTTAAAAACTATTAAATATTTTAGAGATGTTTAATGTAAACTCAAAGCTCTCATTTTAGAAAATTTAGATGACCTTTTTTTGGCAAAAAGTCCAATAATTTAACAGGTAAAGAAAACTTACTACCTCTTTAAATATTTCAGAAACATTTTTCAAAGTTACCAGCTGTAGTCCAAGCTAAATATCTTTTGTAATCTGCAATATTTTCCAAACTGTTTTGGGTAATGATAAATGCTGTTCTCAAAACAGACTTTATTCTCACCTAGGCTTAAACCAACACTTTTATAGAGCATTTACTGTACTGCAATATAAAGGAAATGCACTGTTGAAATTTTAAAGGCATGCCCAGTTCCTAACTTTTAAACGAATTATTATTCTTCCTCTTGATTGATCTTGGCAGAGGTGACAAAAATAAAAAATAAACAACAAAACCACCCCATGCATGTATAATATGGGTATACACATATACGTAAGTATACATAGACTCCCACATTATAACTTAGAATCTTTAGTTTTTTACCTTTGTGTTACTAGGTTTGAGTTGCATGGTTGAGTTGCCAAATTGTTTACATGCTTGGAAGTTTAAATTGTTCCTCACCCAGCAATTGTTTGCTGATCTTGGATTTACTTAGTTCATTTAATTTATAGAAGTACCATCGGGGGAAAAAACTGAATTGGAAAACATGGTGATGTATTGTACATGTTTTTTTTTTTTTTTTTTTTTTTTT